TTTAGGATATAGTTAGTCCCTGAATCCATGCTGTACTAGTAGTTAATCAGCAGTAAATGTCAGGAATCGTTATCTGTGTTCTATTATTTTACTTAATCAGTGTAATGATCCAATCACATATTCATTCATTGAACTAGTAGTTTCCAGAATCAACAAATAGGTCTTATTCAGGGTGTTTGGTATGAATCATTGACAAAGCATATTAATTTCTGTCTCTCTCTCTCTCTCTTTCTCTCTCTCTCTCTCTCGAAAACATTTTATCTCTTTGGAGACTACATCACCACGGTGTGTTACAATTAATAAAATTACTTTTGGGGGAGGTGAGAAATAATACTGTATTAAAGTGTAAGTGGCTTTGGATGAGGTCAGAACCACACGTGCAAGGATTCTGCTTCTACAGACAACAACAGCTGGCTAGATGGCCCAGACCCAGGATTCAGAACTCCTGACAATTGTGAACTCCTGACAATCCCAAACTTCATGGAAAACTCAAGATTTGAGCTTGAGGGGAGGGGCAGGCACGAGGCTTCTGGAGGTGCCTTTGGGTGTCTAGACTGAAGTTTTGAAATACAGTTCTTTCTCTAACCCATAAGCACAATTAAAAAAAAAAGTCACGAGTTCAACAACAGGTTTAAAACAATGTCTTCAGCTTTAATTCAAAACTGCAGGTTTCTTTTTTGAAATTATTTTCCTGAGCCTTTTGTTTTACCATATATTGTAAACTTTTATGTTAAAGAAAAAGTTATACATTTACAAATTGTGACATTTTTAAGAGAAAAAAGACTAGAATTGCACACGTATCTTGATTTCAAAAACAATAAAACAGATTGAGGAAAATAATTTTAATTGTATTTTTTTTCTTTATTGAGTTTAGAGAGAGAGAGAAAGGGAGAGGGAGATAGAAATATCAATGAGAGAGAACATCGATTGGCTGCCTTCTGCATGCCCCCCAGCCCACAACCTGGGCAGGTGCCCTGACTGGGAATCAAACCGATGACCTCTTGGTGCATGGGTCCATGCTCAACCACTGAGCCACACTGGCTGGGCACTTTCATTGCATTTTACAGGGGGAAGTGAAGTTCAGAGAGATGAAGATATATTGATGAAGTTATAGTAAATGGCAAAACTGGAGTTAGAACCTTTTGAACAGCCACTGTTTCCACAGGTCGCTCTCTTTCCACTGCTGTTTTTTTGTCTGTTGGAAAGATTCCTAAGAGAATAGATATTCTCCCCCACCCCCCAACCTTCCCTCTGTCCATTCTTGTCCCAGTCACTAAAGTCAACTACACATAATTGAATGTTCACTATATCTGTACAGTTCACAGCTCAGGAAGTCCTGTTTAGAGCTGTTACAACCATTACTATACTTTTATATCATAATTTCACTCTCCTTTCTTTTCTCATAAAATCTGCTCATGTGAGAGGTAAGACAGAAATCATTAACTTTTTTTTTTTTTCCGAGTGAGAGAGAAGATGGCTATGTTAAATTAATTGCTTAAGCCATAGAGGACATCAGAACGAGTGTCAGATGCAGAAGCAAGGTTGTGACCCTCTAAGCTCTTTCCGCATGGAATTAAAGTTGACTTGGAAAATCAGGAATTTTCTATTATGGTCTTTCCTTAGGAAATATATTTGTCAGTGTTTTCTTCCATAACAGTTTTAAAAATACAGAGTTGGGAAGTAGTCTACTATAAAGATTAAGAACTATGACTCAAAAAAAAAAAATCAGAAAATTATCTCCCTGTTGTGAATATTTCACTTCGTGTTGTCCTTAATTCTATACCTATAAATGGAGTCAACTAATGTACTAAAGTAATTTGAGGATATATGCATTATCACAACATCTAGGTGGAAATACTGAAGGCAGATCATTCATATTACTGTTATAGCTGAATACTATGAGCATTTGCTTAAGAACAATTCCCACTCAGATGACAAGGAACTGACATATGTTCAGGTAAATCAGAGTCTCTACTTTCCAGATACTTTTATTTTAGGAGAAAATCATACATGCATTCTTTCATGTGGCTTTACACAGGGTTTCCTTTTCTTTTTCACAAGAAATATGTCCATTTCAAGATACCTTTTCCTCATCCATTTCTTTACTTGTAAACAAAAGCAGTTCCTTTGTGACCATTTCTATGTCACTCACCAGCATTATAGATAGAACAACTGAAAAATGAGCATAAGAACATGGGACGGGCCACCTGTTCCATAGAGTAAGGATGTTTAATGACAGAAGAACAAACTGCAGCCAAGTCAAAATAACATTAACATTTGGATCACATATTATGCAATAAATCAATTTATGGCTGCTAACATATCTGATGAATATAAGGACTCCTATTATTTGTTTACATTGTTTATTTATTTTTAATTAATTATTTTTTGTTACAGATGTTTCTCCTTTTCCCTCCTAGACACCCTCCTCCCAATTACCCCCCCCCCCGCCCCGGCATTTTTGTCTATTGGTTTTGTGTATATGCAAATAAGTTCTTTGGTTTACCTCTTCCCTCCCCATCTCCCCAGGTTTGTCAGTCTGAAGCACACTCCTTTCTATATCTCTGTGTCTATTTTGTTCATCAGCTTATTTTGTTCATTATATTCCGCAAATAAGTGAGATCATGTGGTATTAGCCTTTCTCTGATTGGTTACATTGTTTGTTTCTTAAGTGAGAAATTAATACAAAGAGCTAGGTTTAGAATGAAAATCTGTTATGTGTGCCTTGTAACCTTTCCACAAATCCACTCAATAACCCTTGTTAGCAGACGTGCTGAACATCAGCCAATCGTCAAAAAGATCACCTAGAAAAGTGTTTTGAAAAAATCTCTACTAAACTTTTCTATTTAAAGAAGCTTGGTTATACATCTGTGCCCATGGAATATTACTTTCTATGATAAAGACATATGGAGCTTTTAAGATATAACATGTAAAACAATTTATTTTCCATGTTCATATTCACAGTAAGGAAGAAACCTTCATTTGAGTGGGTGATGTAGTTTGCCTTCCTAGACCCACTAATGGACGAACTGTACAGAGAATATAGTTGCTGAGGTGGTCTTTGTCTTTACTTAGATTAGTGGTTTATGGTTATTTTTATTTTTTATTTCACTTTACAGTGACCTGTCTCCAAATAAAAAATCATTTCACCTTGCTTTTCTGAAGCTGTTTAAGGATAGATTAAAAAACTAAAATGAATTTGGTATCCTTAGATTCTTTGCCTTCGTAAATAATTTTGGAAATATATTAACAGGGATAATGAGAATAAATTTCATGATGGGTTTAGTAACTGATGGCAAAGTTCACAAAAGCATATATTCACGTCACCAAAAAGTCTATATATAATTACCATGCTTTCATTTTTTCATGGGAAAATGTATCTAAAAATTGCTAGTATGCGATTATGAGGGCAGGTTTTATGTAGTTAGGCCAACAGAATAACATCTTAAATTTGACTTGTTACTAGTTTAGTTTCCTGGACAATTTTTGTAACCTCTGTAGGTATATGTTTCCTCATCTTCAAGAGAAGTTAATAAGACAGTCATGTCATGAGGGTAATTTTAAAGATCAAATGAACTAATATAGATAAGTACTTAGCATCGTATGTGGTACATTATAAGGGCTTAATAATATTACTTTTGCATATTAGTTATTCTTTACCAACAGTTAAATTCATATCTAGAAAAATTTGTTTTTTAAAAAGTCATTAGCTATCAAAGAATCTATTAATTCAGATAAAACCAGAGCATAAAATTTTTGTATTTTGTGAAACCCACAAGAGAAAATATTAAAATGTGCCTCTTTTCCACCACCAAATCATTCATTGTTTTTGTGAAGAGAATCATGTATCAGTATGAAAACAGTGCAGCAGAGCATCAATAATTGAGGCAGAGTTAATATTTCCACTCTACAGCTTCATTCCGAGGCTTAATATATTCACATGTAAACAAGATCAGAATATAAGTTAGGTTTGTAATGTATGAGTTCAGATACAATCTTTTTCTAAGAATTACGATACTTTTTCAATGTAACAATTGGATATTTTCATTATTTATAGCCATCTATTTGGATAAAAATATTGTGAAATATTTAAACAGCATGACTTAAAAATTGCAAAAAGAAAAAAGCATGCATTGGAAGTGGGAAATGTCAGTGACACAGGCAAGGATCTTGTGTCACTGGGACAAGAAGTTCTTGTAGAGATGTAGTAAATTTATTTTGCGAAGATTAAGGACCACAGAGAAGGCCACAGCACAGTATTTTTAATTCTCAAAGAATGCCAGAATCATATAACTGTAGATTTTCCCATAGGACCAGATAAATGATCTCACGTGAATGTATTTCATTATCCTTAAAGTAAGATATATAAATTTTATTATTATATTTTTTTGGTACATGCCCCTAGTGGGAACCAAACCCAGGATTCTCTGGTCCGCAGGCCGATGCTCCAACCACTGAGCCAAACCGACTGGGGCGAGATATAGATTTTTTAAAGAAATTTTTTCTAGCTTTATTGAGATGTAATTGACATATAGCATTGTATAAGTTTAAAGTTTTGCTTTAATCCTTTAGAGCAGTAATTTAAAATAAACAACCACCGAGGGACACATTTTCTGATCTTTCTGGTTATTTGTCTATGTTCCCCAGATCTGCTGATTTCCCATGACCTTCATGTCTCCATATTTGTGCATTAGCCCAGAGAATGCTGAAGCACAGCAGACAGAGGCAATGAAGATAGATGGAGCATCAGAGAGGCAATCTACAAAGGTTTACAACTTGACCTTCTTACATATTTGGAACAGCATCCTTAGCAGTTGTAATTACTTTTTTACAAGCAATTATATTGTTTTTCTATTCTCAAAGATGGTCATTGCTTACTTACATTATCAAATTCTTACCTCTATTAGATTTTAAAAATCTAGTTTATTTTCTCGTTGCCCTGATTAAAAAAAACTTCATTTGATATTTAAAATACTCACCTGTAAAAGTTGTTCATGCATTTTATATGTTCTTTTGTATTTTGATTTGGAGGAAAGGATAAGTGACTATCCTTAAAAAAAAAAAAATAAGAATGTTAAATGTATCTTTATAATATATATTAACATACAATACATATTAATGGTACCTAAAATATTTTAATTTGAAAATAAATAAATGCAAGTTAACATTTCCAATTTTAATTATTTTAATTTTATTTTTATTAATTTTAGAAGGAGAGAAAGGGAGAGAGAAACATCAACTTGTTGTTCCACTTATTTATGCATTCACTGATTGATTCTTGTTTGTGTCCTAACCAAGGATCTAACTCCTCAACCTGGGCATATGGGTAGGACACTTTAACCAACTGAGCTACCTGGCAAGGGACAAGTTAACACTTTTAGATTTCTGACCTTACTTTCCAATTATGGGCATCATGGGCTTTTTGATATTTTATTTTTAAAAAATAATTTCTGATCCTGCTTTCTCACACTTAATTACTTTTTCCTAAGAAATGTCCCAGTGGATTTCATAAGTTCATAATGCACGCACAAGCTTATTTAATACAATGACTAGCCTGCAAGTTGATGTTATTATACTGAGTACTTCTCTTTGTATTTACAAAGATTAAGGTATTTCTAATTGCACCCAAATTTGCAATAAATGCCATTTCTATTCTCTATATACTTCCAAAGGAAGATGGTGAATGAATCCTCTGGCAGAGTTGTTATGTTCCTACCTAGGCAGTCTCAGTTAAGCCTGCCTTATCAGCATTGGTTGTTGGTGTTCTCCTCTGCAACCTGTTTCTTCCCGGGGTTATAGTGGTAGGTAAACCTGGGAACCTCAAGAGACTCCTTGAAGCAGTGATTGGTAAGATTGGGATCAGTTGTTGGGGTATGTTCTCTGAACAGTGTGAGTTTTTGTTGTTGCTTGTTTGTTTCATTTTATTAAACATGAAGCCGCCCTAGACTGATGTAAGGTTGGATTTCAGATTTGGGGTGTGTGTGTGTGTGTGTGTGTGTGTGTGTGTGTCCAAAGTACTGAGGCTGTCTATTCCTCTAATATCTAACATCTATTGGTATTATGAAGAATATTAAGCAAGAATCATTAACATCACATCTTTTATGGCTCTTACTGAACCTTTTATGATTCAAATGGTTTCATCTGCAATGGCAATCCTTGGGTGAGGCAACGAGGAAGTCACCTCCAGGGCGTCCAATGGTATTTGGTGTGGAAGGAAGAAAAAACTAGAGCAACGAGTTTCTGCTTTTGGCTTCTCTCTTGGGAGCAGCTGCCTTTACCGTGTTTGTTCACAGGTCGTCACGTCCCCCTGCCGCCCTCCCCGAACGAGACAATGTTCTCTATCAGATTCTTTTGCCCATAAACAAACAGTACGCGCCTTTCTTCATTCTTTTAGCTGTTCATCATCGAGTCTACCGTCAGCTAGACATCCTAAACTTTCTCACCGAAGCTGGGGCTCCAGAGTTTCAGGGGTTCCAGTTATTTTCCTGGTTGCACATAAAGTGTTCATCATCGTGCTGGGCCCATGAGCTGCGGAGAAGCCAAGAAAACTTTCTTTTTACCCTTACTAACTCCAAGTTAGAAATCTTTGCAGCAGCGACCGCACTTTTCGTCCTGGGCTCTATCCCCACCACGCCCACCCTGCCCACACTCACCCTCGGAGCCACCTTTCCGCAGACCCCTCCTCTGCACTGTCCTTGACTCCGGTTATCCTGGCCTGGCAGGTTCTGGGTACGCGTGCCTAAAGGCTCTGCTGCCGCCTCCGCCCGCGTTGTGCTCCCCGCGTGAGCGCTGGATTATTCCAGTCTTTGAGCATGGCAGATTTCCACCGGATGACATCATGGAAGCTGAGTGAGTGCCGGCTCCGAGAGGGGGACGGAGAAGGGGAGGGGGAGGAGAGGAGGGGTGAGGACTGGGAAGCAGAGCCAGAGCCAGGCTGCCCGCCACCCAGCTGCACGTCCGCAAGCTTGGGAGGAGCGCTCCGCCCGCTATTGACAAAGGATGGGAGGATGCTTGTGCCCGGGATTGCTCGCTGTGCGCAGCCCGGCGGCCGCCTGAGCGACTTCGCCCTCCGCCGGTGAGTGATTGCAAAGATCATGCAATTAGACTTGTAGCGAACGAGCCCGCACCCTCCTCGGGTCGCAGTCCCGGGCGCCTGCGTCCTTGACCCAGAGCGGGGCTTGGCACAGCACTAGACCGGGGAGCCCAGGCAGCAGGTGCCATTGCCTGGTGGGTCCGCACAGGAGCCGAGGCTCCTTGGCTGGGGCTCGTGATGGGTGCTGGGACTCAACTCTCTAGCAGCGGGCTCGCCCTGTAGGTGCCGCTCTTGGTGAGTGGAGGCTGTTCCAGCCAGCTGCGTGGGGTAGTTACCTCTCTTGGCCGGCCAGCGCCCGCCCTGCGTGCCAGCCGTTTCTGGTGGATCCCAGCGCGCGGCGCGCTGTTTACACCAGCTAACTACTAGTCTCGGAGCCGCACCCCTCGGAAAGCGCGGAATCCTGAGAGCCACTTTCCCGGCGCACGAGCTACCGGTGTGGGCGTGGGGAGCACCGGCGCGGATTACCCTGGGAGCGCGCGCCACGGACCCGAGGGCAGCCTTTGTCTTGGGTTTAGCGCTGATGCGCTCAGACCTGAGGCAGGTTACCCGCAACTGTCGAGTCGGATCTGGGTCCCCTGCACCCGCCCACCTGGGCGAGGGATGCCATTGTGTTCCTGCTGCAGGCGGGACTGAGAGCTGGGACTTAAGACACCAGAGGGTACTGGGCCCATGGGTGAGTGTCGCAGTTATCCAGGTGCGGAGAGAGCTCCCTGAGCCCCAGGAAGTGAAGTGACCAATCGAGGCAGATAGACGCCCAAGTTCTGTCCTCAAGTGGTATGAGTGACAGAGCAAACTTATAATACTCTTGCTCTCCCACCTCCGCTCCCCGGTTTCTGAAGCGCTTATCCTGAGGATAATTTGTTGCTGGTGGATGCAATTGGAGGCGTATCCAATCTGCAGCTAGAGAGTTCCACGTCTTCCGTGCAGACCCTTTTGTTATACAGTAGTTTGGAAGATGTTTGCTTGCACAACGTGTTTGAGACTGATGTCTGTTCTGTTGCAGAGCTTTGTAGGTTTAAGAGAAAAGATTTGGAACCTGCTCAGGTACCTTAGTTTAGAGTTGTGCTGCGTGTAAGTGCTAGAAAGCCAGCCTGTCAATACCCACGCCTCCTCGTTACCGTCCTTACCTGTTGGTTCGACACACGTTTTATCAATGAATTCCTTCTGTTTGGCAAAAGTCCAATTTTCAGATCACAGAGAAATGGCGATAACTATCGGAATATTGGATTTAAAAGTTAGTTTATTTCCAAAAGAAACACTTTGTGGAAAAGGTTTAAGGAAGAGGAAGATTGCTAATTTGGGGGTCAGTTACTTTGGGGGGATTTCATCCACTGCAATCTAAAATATTTATAAATTTAAGTGCTATTTCATATTCATGAATTTAGTGTATAATAAATGATCCCAGGATACTAGATTCTTGCTATGCAACTTTGATATTCCAGCATCTAATGAAATGCTATGGTATATGAAAGTAACAATCATGGTTATAATTCAAAGTTCATTTTATTTTATTTTTTTAAAAAGCCTTCGGATTGTTCCTCTTCCTTTAAAGATAGGTGATCCCAGTGAAGCTTTTCTAAAGCAAACGTATCACACTTTCTTGGTCAATGGTTGCTTTTACGACAAAGTTGAGGTCATTTCAGAACAGACATGCTAGAAAATTATTGGAATAAGAAATACGGTGGAAGTACAAAGGAACTGGGTGAGATAATAGAAGGAGGTTTTACTAAATATAAATGGTGGGACTAAGATGGGTATCAGAGAATGTCACATCAGTTTTGCTTTTGGAAAAGCTCTCTGTAGTTTTTATATGCTGTTGTTCCTTCCAAGAAGTGCATCATTAAATGTTTGATTCTGCTCTATGGAGTCCAATGATATGACCAAAGGGAGCTTATCTTTACCCAGGATTTTTGGTCTTAGCAGCAACATTTTCTCCTTTGATTCAGAAATAATTTTTATTTCATTATCTGTTCCCTTACTTCTTATCACAAAGGGTTCCACCTGTGTCTTCAAATGTTTTATTTATTTTCTAACATTATTAAACTCATCTTTTTAAAATATATTTTTTTATTATTGATTTTAGAGAGAGAGAGGGAGAGGGAGATAGAAAGGTCAATGAATGAGAACATCAATTGGCTGCCTCCTGCATGCCCCCCACTTGGGATTTAGCCCATAACCTGGGCATGTGCTCAGACTAGGAATCAAATCAGCGACCTCTTGGGGCATGGGTTGATGCTCAACCATTGAGCTACACCAGCCAGGCTTAAACTCATCTTTTTATAGTAAAGTTTAAGAATTTTACATGAAGGTTCCTTGAGAGCTTGTTGCTCATATTGGCTGCTTTCCTTAAATGTTGTAATAACACAATCTCTTTCTGAAACTAGCTCAGTGAACATATGGTCACCCAGTGAACATACAGTCTGCTATTGTGCTTACGTGATGGGCTGTACCTGACATAAAAATATACATTTATATAAAAAATATATAATCTCAATTAGACAATCAGGCAACAAAGCAGGAGGTATGTGGTATTTGGCTCACAGTTTTGCAAATGATATTTTCTTTAATAAGATATGTTACCCCCTGTATGTGATAAGTAAAAATGTACATAAGGAAAAAATGTTATATTTTATGTCTGACATCTTTAATTTCAAAAATAGTTGTTCACGAAGGTAAAAAATGCTCCAGTACTTTTCTATACATACACCAGAATATGTAAGAAAAGTCCTCAGAAAGTGTAAGCATCTTATAAATCCATATGATTTGATATAGTTGATAGGCAGTTCAATGGTCTTTTTTAAAATATGAAGTAAAATGATATCCTTGCACCAGAGAATATTCTCATAATGGTCTTTAATGTGTTTCACAAATACCTTGGCTATTTTGTTACACAGAACTCTTAAGTGAAAAAGATGAGAGGAAGAGGACAAAGTTGCATTAAGAGAATAAAACAGAGCTATGGTATATAGGCAATAGTGATGTTTCAAGATCATGGAAAAGAGTATTGTGTCAGAACACTGGAAGATTTCCAAAAGAAGATTATGTAGGAGGAATAGTTTATACCATTTGCTTTTATTGTTCCAATTGTTTTCATTGTTCCAATTGCTTGAGTTGAACAGATACCTCAGGATCTCTGTGATACAGTGAGACTCTTCACTTTTCTTGAGGCAAAGTTGTATCTTGAACTCAATCAGAAGTTATTTTATGGGCTTTTCCATGGTATAATTCAAATTGTAGTTTAAGGATGCTTCATGGATCACAAAACATTATGATTTTAGCTTTCATGTAGACCTTTGAAATGGAACTTGGTCAGTAAAACCTTTTTGGCTGAAAGGTATTGGTGTTTTGGCTTCTTCTGGAATTATGTTAAGAGTGAAAGCCAACATGAATAGCATCATTGAAAATATTCAGAAGTGTGATGATATCTTATTCATAGGGTTCAGATAATATTGTTAATAGAGTTTTAAAAAATAAAATTAAAGAAAATTTGAGACAAAATCTCTATAAACTAAAATTATTCTTTTGTTTATATATTGGACACATCTTGCAACTTATTGGACCTCTGTGATACTAGTGATTCACTTTATATGACCCAGTGTCAGAATGATGAGTACTGGATAGGAAATGTGTGTTCTAGTTTTGACTTTGTAATCTAATTGAGGACAAATCTCTAAACCACTTGAATAATAGTTTCATTTTACATTAAATAAAGATGATAATATCTACATTGCCTTTCTCAGGGATTGGTGCATAGCAAATGAGTTAATTTGCAAAAGTGATGTAGAAAATGTGGGAAGACCTAACAGATATGATCTATCAGTTAATTTTTAACTTCTAAGTGTTGTCAGTTCAAGAAGTAAATTTATATAGAGGTGAGTCTAGTTTGTGATTTCTATTTTAAACATCTTGTATTTTCAATTATTGGCTTTCTTGACAATGTATTTATTATAATTTATACAATTGTTAAGTAGGTTGTTATATATCTTTTTTACTGTGAGTTTACAGGCAACAAATGCTCTCATTTTTTATGTTTGAAAACTTTTTTTTACAGCATTCATTTTTAAAGAATAGTTAAGCTGGGTATGGAATTTTTGACAGTTATTTTCTTTCAAAACTTTAATTTGCTATTCTTTTGATTCTGGCTACTATCTAATCTGTCAGTCTTATTATTGCTGTAAAGATAATGAGTCTTGGTCTCTCACCGATTTTAAGATTTTTTTACTTGTCTTTATTTTTCTTCAGTTTTACTATGATGTTCTCAGATACGGTTTACTTTTTAATTACTCTCCTTAGAGTTTGCAGAGCTTCTTGAATTTGTGGATGGATGTATTTCATAACATGAAATTTACTGGTGAATTCTTGGTATATAGATCTACTCCATTCTGTCTCCTTTTTTTTTGTTCTGAGACCTCAATTATGTATTTAACATATGGTTTTACTGTGCCCAACATGTCTCTTCTACTTGTTTTACTATTTTCTCTCTCTCTCTCTTTCTTTTTCTCTCTCTCTTTCTCTCTCTCTTTCTTTCTTTCTTTCTTTCTTTCTTTCTTTCTTTCTTTCTTTCTTTCTTTCTTTCTTTTTCTCTCTATGCTTGTATGAATATTTTCCTTTGATTTTTTTCTTCCAGTTAACTAATAACCTTCTACATTATGTTTATTATGCTGTCTGGCTCATCTATGGGTTATTACTCTAATTATTGTATTTTTCAGTCTTCAAATGTGTATTTTATTCTT